CCGTCCAGAACAAAGTATTACGTACTTCTTCAGAGGACACTGATCAGGTAAGTAAGCAAAGTCGATCCCCTTGGATTTGGTTAAATCCCCAAACAAATCAATACAAGTAGATTGTCGAATCTCTGATGTGAACAACTTTTGGAAAAAAGCCACCGCATGCCGTTGCAATCGAACCGGATCATCACTCCATTCATCATTATCCAATTTCAGCATATGAATGTTGTTCCTTCTCCTACTAAGTGTCGTATTATGAAAGAACCTCGTATTTCGATCACCATTAACAATCCATTTACTTCGAGACTTTTGGAACCATAATTTCTCTTCCTGCTCAAGAATAGTATCCAGCTCACGCTTAAGATTCTCCTCCAAATCCTGTAAAAATGGCGAATTGTTCTGCTCGAGAGCCTTTTCAATTCCCCGAATACGAGCAAGGAGTTAGGTCTTTCTTTTCCCAATGTGACCAAATACATTTTTGTTCCACCTCTTACTCTCCTCCTGGAAATTCGAGAGGTTCGCAAGAAGGGGGAAGTAATTAGCCCAACAGCTCTCAAGAAATCTTCCAAAATCCGGGTGATCATTCCAGGCATCCACAAAGCGGAAGGGTCGAGCATTGTTGACACCTACAATCTCATTGGTCTTTAGCAAAATTGGCCGATGATCAGAGCCTATTCTTTGCAGATGAGTAATAGTAGTCGAACAAAAAATTTCAGTCCACCTAATATTGCGTAAGCAACGATCCAACCTCTGGTAAAGGTCACCACGTTGCCAAGTGAAGCAAGGTCCATTGAAACCCACATCAATCAACCCCGAAAGAAATAAGAAATTGCAGAACTTAGGACAAACTCACTATCTTCTACTTGATCCAACCTGCCTCTCATTAGAATTGCAAATCGCATTGAAATCGCTGCCAAGAACCCAAGGCTCATTATTCTCCGATTCCGAGGCTCTTTAATTGATCCCAAACTCGTCTACGTCTACCACTCTCCGGCCTCGCATAGACAAAAGTAATGAAGAAGTTTTTTGAAGTACTCTTGTCGACACGGTAGCCATGAATAAATTGATTAGAAACCACCAATAAATCTAACTCAACCACATTCTTCCAAAAACCCAAATACCACCAGAAAATCCATTTGCCGCTACACGGAACGAAGCGTCAAAACCTGCCTTCTTAATGAAATTATCAGCTTGGGTACCACTTACCCGCGGCTCCATAATCGCAACAATATCCGGGATTCCGGGTGATGTTATTTCAAAAGTAACTTGAAGTACCGGTTGAAAGGAAGGCCTAAGACTCCCTCAGTAGTCCAAAAAGTTATTTTAACCATAAAGAGGCGGAGGGAAAAGCGAGACAAGGACTATATCATAGTATCCATCCCAGAATCGTTCTCAAAAGCCGTGTTTGCTCTCCACTGAATTTTTGCATTGGAATGCCGCTGAACATCGGCACTACCAGGAGCCAGCCAACTGAGCATTCTTAACATTGAGATCCTTTGCCATTGCTTCCATCCATTCTGCCAACAACAACTTAGGAGCTCCCCTAGCTTCTTTCATTCTCGTTTTTAGTCCCTTCCTCGTTAAAACCCTCGCTGCTGCCATGAACTGATCACTTTTTTTCGAGCTTGTTCCATTCTTCGCTTCCCTTGGTGGCCGTCCATTGTTATCAGTGAGGATTCTTTTCCGATCGTCATCTTCAATGTGGATGGCTGCATGCTTTCCATTCATATCGATCGCACGAAGCTGAACTGAATTGTCTGAATTATCGACCACTGCAACATCCGTCCTAACCTCCTTCCCCGAATCCTTCCTTATACTGGTCTCGACAGAAATGACATGTTGATCCTGTTCAAGAGTTTGACTCGGTCTGCTTGAGCAAGGTTACACTTCTCGGTTGAGAAGGCAGAACTAGGGTGGCCATACTCTTCGAACTTGTTCCCACATCGTGAACACCTGAAGCCTTCACGCTAGTTAGACCTTCAACTTTGTTTCTGTTTTCCGTTTCATGAGTAAGATGGCCCTTTCCTTCCCTTTGATCTGGCATCTCATTACCGTGCTCAGCCAAAGCTCCAAACCGACTTCCAGCACTAGGTTTCTGATGGCTGGTGCCATTACCTGCCATATGAACCGCTTTCGTGTTTAGAGCTTGCTCTTTCTTCGCTCAGGGACCTGCATCCAAGGACCATAGGTATCACCGGAGGTTTCGCCGTTTCCTAAAGCATTGGCCGTCGCCGCAGATTCATTCGATGAAGTCAAAACGCAACCTTCCTTGGTGCGGCCATATTTTCCACACAAATAGCATATCGTTGGCAATCCTTCATATTTTACCCCCTGACAACTCCCATCTATCATCAATCCTAGAATAAATGGCTTCCCCAAATCAACAGCAATTGCAAGGCGCGCAAACTTTCCCCTCTTTCCTTCAGTCGTGTTGTAGTTTATCTTAACTATCTTCTCCAACGCACCTGCAATAGCTCCAAAAAGACTCTTTGTATAGTAGCGATAAGGAATCCGGGAAGCCTTACCATACCAGTATCATCTGAGGGTGATCCTCGACTATAGAGAACTGCCTCGACCATGGCTGAACCTTCCCGTAAATCATCCAAGGGCCTCCGGACACCACATTCTGAAAATCATTCTCCAAAGCAAAGCGAACTAGAAAGTATTCGTTGTCTAAGTCGATGAGTTGTATCTCTCCATTTGGTCTCCACAACACTTGAATTCGGTTCAAAAGAGCATTGTAGCTAACTTCTTCCCTAACAACCGAACTACCACGACTTGGCAAGCTTTTCATCAATTGAATTATGCACTCTTTCGGAGAATTGGATGTCTAGGACTGATCCATCCATGCCAATCTGCACATCCCCCTCCGATAACTCAACATCCAGATCGCTAATGAAATTGTCACTGCCAGTAATACCAGATTGCCTGGTTACCATATCCCTGAAGGAAGGTCTGGCCCTACCTATCCACATTGGTCACAGTTGGTCCCGAGTTATGCAATTGCCCCAAACCTTGGCACGGAGGATTCTCATTCGCATCGTTCATCATAACATCGACATCACTCAATCCCAACTCCTGCGTAGCCCCAATTCCTGTCGTCAACCCCTCAGAGATCTTGCTGTTATTTTCCACCGGTAATGAACCAACGTGTATGTCCTAACCCGGTCTCTCCAGCGCCGGCGGCTGTAGTGATTGAATCGCAATGTCCGGTGGCCTTCCAGGGGGAACGGTCTCACGTGCACCATTAGGGTTTCCATGGTTTGCGGAGAAAACTTCTATTATTCTTTGGACTTAAGAGTTTACTTGCGCCTTTTTTATTGGTAAGTTGTTTTACACAATTTTCTTTTCTCGCCTTTTCACAAGCCCGATTCACATCAGTCATTCTTCTTTCTTTCATCGGCGACACCATTCTTTCTTTCTGATGAATCTCACCGAGGAATCAATAGTAAAATCTTTTTCTTCATCCTTCATGCCTCTTTGCCATCTTTCTCTTAAATTCATTTATTTGATTATTTTCTTAGGGCAATGGTTGATTTCTCTCCATTGTGAAAACCTTTTTGTAATTGCTAATATTGCCTCTGTTTTTAGTACGATTGCATTATTTTCTTCAAAGGTTTCTTTCACGTTAACCCATTTTGTCAATTCCACATTTCGAACAATTGGCTTTAGTTTCTTGAGATTAATATTTTTAGTTTATTTAAATTTATGTTGATGGTGTTGTGTGGATAGTGTTAGTTTCAACTTAGTTTACTGAATGATGGGATTTTGATTTTATTTGATGTTTGATATCATCTTTTGTTTTTCGATTCTACAGCTTGTTGCACACTCTGAAATTAGCATCAAATGACATCTTTAATGATGAAAGATGCAAGTGATTGGTTCTACAGGTTCCTCAAATAGTTTTATTATTGACTTTTTGTATCTATTTTGTTATTTTTGAGACTATGCTTTAAATATTGTAATAAGTTCTAATTCAATGAGTGGTATTGAATGTTGTTCCAATGATCATTTTGTTTTTATTTTATTTTTTGGTAGTTTCCATTTTATTAGTTTTTAAATTATATTCACATATTCATATATGGATAATAGAAGAGCTTTTTTTTTTTTTTTGACTAAGGATATTAGAAGAGTTATATATGTGGAGTTTCGGTTCAAGTTATTAAATTTGTATATAGGTTAGTTGTAATATGCATATGTTATTTCTTTTACTAATTTTATTCTTTTTTTTTTTTTGTTTCTCATTAGATTTAGAAATTCTTGAAGTCTAACACATTAACTATTCATATATCTATAATACAAAAAATGTGTGATATTACATTTTAATTTGATGTGCTATAAAAAAATATTATAATATACAATCAAAATTTTTATAAAATATATTTTTGTAGCAATAAAATTAACTTGTTAGAAAGTATAAGATAAAAAGTTACAGAAAATTTGTAATGTGTGTTTGTTTTCCCTAAAAATAGATTTCGAAAATATTTTTAAAAAAGTTTGCCAAACAATGGAAAATAGTTTACACAACACCATCCAAACATCATATGATTTCTCGAAATTGTTTTCCAGAAAAAATGTAATTAATTTTCTGAAACTGCTTTTAATGGACCCTAAGTAATCTTTTTAGTAGGTGACATTTCAAAGTTTACAACATGATTGTTAAAATTTCTAAATAATATAAAATGGTCTATCGTACACTGTTGAAAAGAATAATGAATAAACAGTAAAACACACACACATATGAAAAGTTTTTGGCATCAATCCTAGAAATAGTCAAATATTGGCACAAAAGTATAGTTTTCAGGAATTGTACAATCATCACGTAATTGAAGAAGAAGTTTAACAAAGTACAAATTTAAGATACAAACTCAACAAAACGGAGAAGAATCAACTTGCCAGCTAGATTCAGCCTCATCCTTCCCCCCGATGCTCTACCAAAATGCAATTGCTACTCTCATCTAAGCTTCTAAACATTAATCATATTCTTCTCCTTTCCCATTTTCGATTTCTTTTTCCCAACTTTAAATACTTCCATTTCCTTTCCTCCCATGTATGGATACAAAATTGGCTACACTTGATTCCTTCTTCTTTTTCTTCTTGTATAAAAAACTCCGGGAACTCATGCTGTCAAGTTCATGGCTTCAATATATCACAACTCGAAGTAGCCCTGGCTGTGGTTCAGTATAGCCAAGGCACTCTTCTTCAAGGAGATAATGTTGTACAGCAACTGGAAGTCTAGCTGGAATACGAGAACCTCTTGCCTGGTGGCCACTTCCAACACTTATATAAACCTGCAGGCGCTGATCTGCTGCCCTTGCTGTGCTCCTCAGCACTGATAGCTCATACTTGAGCATATGAATGGCTTCAGTAACATGCAATCCATGCAGGTCTATCATCCGTTGCGGACCTCCAAGAATCTCGGGATGAACTTGGTTCCTGTATTATTATAGTTCATAACAGTCGAACAGAACAAGCTAGTACGACCAAAATAATGACAGAATTTAGATTATGGGACTAAGAATAAACAGTTACCAAGATTCATAACCAATAAACTCAGGTATATTGATTCATCAGAGCTGTGGGTTAGAAAGATGAACAGATAGAGAAAGAAGAAAGGGTAGTGTGCAAAGAAGGAAGTGATGGTTACGAAACAATTACATGTAGCCTCAGTGTCAGCAACCACTGATAAACAGATCTCAAAAGCAATAATAATAACAGCAACAAAAGATCATGTTTACGTCTGTTAACCACCATAACAAGGAACCAAGTGCGAGAAGAAAGAAACGACAAACCTCTGGCTATAGATGGATTCTTCAGCATTTCCATGAGCTGCCTTCATATGCATACTCTGCAGTGGTCCTTTCATGCTAAGTTCCTTTGCAAGAGCCTTATTGCCAATAAGAAATCCTTGGCGCGCCTATTGTAAATATATTTAAAAATGTAGTATCACTTAAAAATACAGATAGGTTGAGCAGACTAAGTTCAGTGGGGAAAGAGAGAAAAAAGAAATAAATGATGAATATTTAGAGCAAAGTTCACATTCAGTATTAGACATTGCAGTAAAACGTTAGAGATTTTGAGCTGTCTTATGGTAGATGACTAGATGCACTCTGTGCTTTGAACAGTATCATCAACTTATGAAAGCAAGGGCCAAGGGCTATTCAGGATAATTAAATGGAAAATTGTGACCGACACCTTTTCCCATGCTCGCTAGACTTGGGATTGGAAAGCTCAACAGCTGAATTACTCAAAATGAAATAACATGTTTACCTTAAAAGACTATTGGAGTCGTATTCTATTACTTATTTCTATTCGGTTGTATACTAGCTAAGCTAATTGATTCTTGATATAACTTGGTTGACAATTGTAAAGTTACAGAATCATTCCCAGGGTTCCAAAAGGTGCACAAATAAATGAAAAAATGTTATGGGTGAGAAATTAAGCAGAAACATGGTTCAACATATCATCAGTTTAACTATCTGCAATAAATTTCCAAGGAGATACCTGGTCAAAATATGCATTACGAGAACCTGCATTGTCTTGAGATTCTTCCCACAGTTCAGAGTATAAATTTGCTGCCACCACAATAATATTAAAACAAATAGATATGGACAAAACCATAGATAGCTCCTATTAAAATCTGTATAAAACATGATTGGTAGTGCCAAATGTTACCCATTGAATCTCTAGTCTCAGGAAAAACAGGAGCTGAATGAGCTGACTCATGTGTATGCAACCTATTAGCATAAACCCCTCTTCCAGGTGCAGCACTGTACGTATTAGCCAACCCGTGAGAATTTCTACTTGACCCAACAATTGAATCAGGAGAACCATTTCCATCAAACTTCCATACTCCAGAATCTTGAGATGTCATTTTCCTGATACCTGAAGTAAAATCCAAGGCACCTGTAGGTGGAAGGGAAGAACTGGATTTGAACATAAGAATCTTGTTCTTTTCAGTTGATTGATGAGGAGTGGCACTATGATGAAGATAATCTCCTCCATATTTTGTAGGACCACTCTGATCATCTAACACAGTAACCGCAGGGCAGCCTAGTGTACTCAGATTGGGAGGTGACAAGGTTTTTGAATTCAGGTTAAGGTTGAAACCACCATCAACTTGAAGCTGCAATAAAAATTAAAATGACCCATGAAATGCTAAAAGATCTTAAAATGGAGAAAATACACAGTGAAAACTCCAAAAACTTGCAAAGTATGCTGGAAACTAGTGAGCCACAGCATGCAACAGCAATATATAAAGATGAGACTTCAAAGATGAAGGCAAGAAGAACCCATAAAGAAAAACTACCCCTCCAAACCAGGCCACATATTACTATAAACTAGAGGCTACATGCTGTAGTTGAATTGAGTCACCTTAAAACTTTATTGGGAGCCAACTTTTTCCATGTCAAACCACAGTTAGCATCCATACCATTACCATTCCCAACATCCCAACAATAGAACATAAGAAAATGGGGAAAAACATTTCCCATGTATAAATAAAGGAGAAGCAAAACGGAAATTATCCTGATCCGGACCATAAAACATTCCTTAGAGGGCTGCAACTCTCCAGCATTGATAACCAGAATTGAAAAATGGAACAAATGTAAACTGATGCATCCCTACATCTTCAAACAAAGGATAAAAGCTAGCACTAGAAACCAACTGAAAGAAATTAAGCACCACTCACCTCAAGTTGAGTCAGCATCTCAATAGTCAGATTTAAGTTACAACCATTGGCAAAATAAACTTCAGCAAGGATTTCGGTAGCAAGTTCAGGAAATTGAGAAGCCAAAAATTCTACAGGATTCATTTCAGGACCATCCATAATTTTGTGCTCACCCAACGAATCATTAGCGAACCTATGTCTAGAATTTCCTTTATATGGTTGCCCTTCCCTCCCATTGCAGAGTAGCTGATCAGCAGTAACAAGTTGCTTGTCCCAAGTTTTGGCAGGCAAATGCAAAAAACTAGCTGAGGTAGGATTCCATCCAAGGAATGAAGAAGGATGTCTCAATTTTTCAGCAATGCCATTACCATTAACGTTATGATGCAGTAGTTGCTGATTACCAAATATATATCCACCAGCAGCAGAAGCAGGAAATCCTGATGCTTCACTACCACCATGCAAGGATAAACCTGCTAAAGAAAGGCTCCCAGATCCAGATTCTTGACAATCATCCTCATTAATAACCTTAAAGTCTGGAGTAATGTCATCAGGGAGCTGGCGACACCAGAACTGATGAGCCTCATCATCAGAATTATTTGAAATAGAAGACTCAGACCGATCAAGCACTGCTTTTCCTATAGTTCTAGAAATAGCAAACCTTGTTGCATCAACTGCACTAGAGCTTCCTGAGGATGGTGACCTAAGAGAAAAGGGAACGAACTCTGCTGCATTAGGATTCAAAGTTGTTACCTTGCTAGGGGTATTCATTTGTGGGATCCCTTTCTTAGATAAGCTCATTCTTTACTTAAAAGGAAAAAAGAGCAAAAAACAGATTCTACACGGAAAAAAGAAACTAATGCAGAGAGTTCCACTAACACTAACCAAATCCTGCAAAACCATCCATAGTAACATATTCAATAAATCGAACTTACAAAAGAATCCTAATCTGAAGACAAACACATGCATGATACCAATCCTTACCAGAATACATATCAATAAGCAAATTTAGAATGAGATTGATACCCAAAAAGCACCAAATCTCAACAACATTCTTTATAGAAACTTTTACAATAACCATTTCCATGAATATATCGATGATGACCAATGATAACCACAGCGATGATGAAGATTATAGAAATATTAATAAGCATATTTGACTCTCATGCATGTAAAATCATTGCTTTAAAAGAAAAATAAAATATTATAGACAATACTAATGACAAATTAACAACGACAGTTAAACATTTGTTAATTGTTTAAACAAAACCAAAATATGCTTAATTCAACATTATGAGTTAAACAAGAAATTATTCATTAAATCAAACGCATTAGATAGACCAAAATTACGCCAAAATACAACTCAAAACCCTAGAATTCACTTTTTAAAATATACTTCAAGCTGAAAAGGAAAGCACAAATCCTAGAGCTAATAATTAAACAGCAAACTTATATACAGTAGAACCTTTATAATAATAAAAAAATAAACTTAAATTTCCAAAAAGAAAAAAATAAACAGAAAATCAAAGCTCTAGCTGAACAAACAATTGAAACGAAATTAGAGCACAAATCAAGGCTATAATCTTGCATCATCCAACTCAATAATTATCAGAGATCTGAATTTAATCAATCACACACACACAAAAAGAACTGAAATAAACAAGACGAAGAAATAAAACCGAAAATCCATATATCGAAGGAGATACTTATACCTTTTCGAAACAAATAGAAAGGATTCATGGTTAAAGAAATGAGGATGATAGCGTTTGCTATATAGTTTTTTATTTTTAAATTAATTTTATCGGGATTTGAGCTTCGAGCTTTGGTTTTTGTTTCTCTTGCTTGCAGCAGTATTATATTATCTCATGTATTCTCTTTTATTTTCGATATTTTTTTTCTTTTTTTGTTCGAAACATCGCTCACGCTAATACCATTACTTACCCCACAAAAATATAAAACAAAACATCCTATACAACTCTTCGCCACTATATCTAAATTTTTATTATTTTCAATATTTTAATTTATAATCATTATTTTATATTAGTTTATATTTTATTTAAAAGTTTTTTTTATAAAAAGTTACATTAAAAATTATTATGATTAATATATGTGTGTAAAAATTTATTTATAATTTTAGAGTTAATTGCATCACATATCCTCAAAGTATAATTCTCATTTTAAATTAGTACCTAAATTTTTAAATATTCCAATTTTATCCCGAAACTATGACTATCATTCTAAATTAATCCTCAAACTTTTGAACATTTTGATTTCATCACCAAACTATGACCTTCATTCTAAATTGGTTCCCAAATTTTTTAATATTCCAATTTCATCCCAAACTATACATATGTAATAACCACATTCTTTGTTAACAAAATCATTAGGCCAAGTTATAGCGTTATATGTTTGGGGAAAATTTTAGTTAAACTATGATTCAAACTACTTACATATTTAGATGAATTTGGGATGAAATTGGAATATTCAAAAGTGTGGGTACCAATTTAGAAAGAGGGTCATAGTTTAGGGATGAGATTAGAATGTTCAAAATTTTAAGGACTAATTTAGAATGAGAATCATAGTTTAGGGATGAAATTAAAATATTCAAAAGTTTAAGGACCAATTTAAAATAAAAGTTATAATTTGATGATATATGATACAATTAACTCTTTATTTTATATTCAATATTTTTAATTATTTTATTTAATACATAAATATAAAAATAAAAAATTCTTATAATAATACTAGATCTTTAAAGATCAATATTCAATTAATCCATGATAGAAAAATGATAATAGAATAGTAAATAATCATAAAAGTTAATTTAAGATAACTAATATTTCTTTAAAAATTTGTCTTTTGTGTTTTTTTATTAAATTTTATTAAACTAATGTGATTATAAAATAGTACATGTTTAAAATTCAATAAATTGACAGTAAATACTCAAACAACTCTTTTGTAGACATTGATGTTTGTCTCAAGAGATAACAATAATCTTTTAACAACTAAAATCATTTAATTTGTGTATATAAATTATATTTTTGAAAAAAATATATTTTTTTTTCAGTTGAGATACTACTTGTTGTCAAGGCGTTCCTTTTTAAAATATTGTGTCGATTAAAAAATCGGGATTTTGTAAAAACGTTTGCCTTGAATAATTTGGGACACGAGTTTAAAAACAATAAAATTAGTTTGCAGAGTCTTCAATAATATTTGATTGGATTGGACACCCAAAAACATATTTGTCATTTTAATAAAATATTAAAATTAATTAAAACAACAATTTGAATATATGCGTTACCAAAATTTTGAGTTTGGGAGTCGGTTACGTGTGGGGAAGTATTAGCACCCCACAGTGCCATAAATCGGTACCTAGTTAATTAATTAGTTGTCATTGCAATAAAACTTATAAATTCGAATTTTATTTAATTTAGGACCCATTTTAAACACATGCCGTTAACATCTATTTCTAATGTATACAATGAAATAAATACAACTAATTAATTATTTTATCAACCTTTAATAAGACTAAGGATGTTCAATTATTTAAAGACATCGAGATCATACCTTAGATCCAGCTAACAATCTTTTATCAATGAATTTAATTAAGAGAACATGATCTTTTTCTCTTGTTCCCAAAATATTTAAGTAAAATCACATTTTAGAGTTTTGCTTGATAGGATGCCCTTTTATTTTAAAATCATCAAAATGATATTCTTATACCTTAAGACAGCCATTTCACAATAATTATAAAATAAAAGGGTATTACCCTTAGTCAATTATTTTAATAGAGTCGAGTAATGCACATGGGATACAAATTAACTCAAATTAACCCTAAATCTATATTCACCAAATTACACAATTACATGATGCTAAGTAACCAAATTTATAAACAAATGAAAACAATATGCATAATACCTTGAAGAAAAATGGTCACGCTTTATAAAACATATACATAGAATATTACCATATATTTAATTTTAATATCTAATAAAACATAATGAAAACATCACTAAAAAATTTATACATATGTGTAAATATATATAAATAAGAACTAAAATGAATGACCAACAAAAACATAGGTGCTAAACAAAATATATTAATTATTTAAAAAGGATTAGACCACATCTTGACAGAAATAACTAGGATCAAGCGTGAAAATAAACCAAAGCACCAAAATAATGACTAAATAATAAAATAATGGTAAGTTTAATATCAATATGCGAAAATCAAAGAATACATGGACTAAAAACGATATTAAACACATAAAGAATAAAAGATTCAAATCAGAAGGTCAACAAAGTATCGAAAAGTGACTAAATTGCATTAAAGTGAAATCTAGATGCCAAACTATAAAGAATTAAACTAGATTTCACGCACTATGGACTAAAATGAACTTTCTGAAAAACTTTAAGGGATTACGGAAAGGATTTATCCCTGGAAGTCTAAAACATGTGGGTTAAGGGGTACCAAAACGACACTGCTTTGATTGAGGTATAAATACCCCTTTTCTTCCTTTTTTTCTATTTCATTCATTCTTTTTTTAACTCTTTCCATCTCTGCAGTCTCTGTTTTCCCAAAACCCGACGAGAGCTTTTGACGTCAGCCATCGTCTCCAATGGTCGTTGGATTCTAGACTACACCAACAGGCTCTCTTCGACTCTTAGATCTCTAATTTGGCCTCAGTTTTGCCTGAAAATGCCTTTACGCCAGTGAATCTAGACCGAGATATTTTAGCTTCATCACATCCGATCTTTTCATCTGAATGTTAATCAACTCGATTTCGGAGTATGTTACTCTCCTCAGTCTTCTCTTTCAGTTGATTGCTCGGATCTACGAATTGATTGTTGGAGTTGCCATTTCGGTAAGTTTCTCTCTTCAATATTTTTTTCTCTTTTTTTAGTCTCCTGATTCGGTGGCTATAAAGCTCACGTTGAGAGGATGAAGAAGAAGCAAGTTTATAACATCCAAAAAGTGGGATAATGACTAAAATATAAGTTTTTGAAACTTTGCTGTCAATTTCGAAATAAAAATTGAAAAGTTCATGGAATTAATTGGAATATCTTGTGTAAGATTTAATAGTAATGAAGTAAGGATGAAAGATGTAATGGTCATTTGATAAGAAATGTATTAAACACTTCAATTTAGGGGTCAAATTATAAGTTTATAAAATTATAGACATATTTAGAAAGTGAAAGAAATTAGGGATCCAGTCCTGAATTTACCCATTTTTCTTAGATGTTGAAAAATAAAACCCTTTTCCCCGTGTAATCTGGTTTTCTCCAGAAGCTTACCCCAAATTCCCAACCCCTTCGGTCCATCTTTGTAGCCCCGATTCTCCACCATACTACCGTTCGTCGATCCGACACCACAAATAGATTCACCATTGAACGGTGAACAAAACTTGACATTTATCCAGTTGTGAATCGGCGACGTTCAACGTAAAACTCAACCGAAAGTTTGTCAGTTTTAACTCGATCACAATTGGTTTTCTATAGATTCAGGTCGATCTGGCCACTCATTTTCGACACCTTCTACACCATCGTGTTCCTTGCATTGTTCTGAGTCCATCGGTGTCCTTGTATCCGTCATCACCGGCGCATGTGGGGTGAGGAAGTTAAAGTTTCTGACATTTTAAAATCGAGATCTTCGCCGTTCAAAATTGTGAACCGAGCTTGGTAAGTTCTCAAAATCCTTTAAAATAATTTTAGAAATTTTGTGGAATTTTTCGGACACTGTACGATGCCGTACGCGCCTTCCTCTGAGAGTGGGCATCGTTTGCCAGTAGGAAAATGAGTAGAAATGGTCTAAACCGACTGGACCGGTTTGAATGAGCCAAATCGGATCGGATCGAATCAGATCGAGCCGAACTGAGCCGAACCGAGCCGTTGACCGCCGTTGGCCATTGACCGTTGACCGTCCGTTGACTTTTTTTGGGTACACCTATCCTGACATTTTTGACGTCCTGAGTCTGTTTTTGGGGTCTGTTTTTCCAAATTCGAACCCAAAGTTGGTTTTAAGTTCGAGAGTGATCGAATGGTGATTAATTAGTCGATCTATATGGCACAAAAACCGAGATATCGATCGAAAGCAATAATCGGACGGGTCAACGAGATAATATTGATCAAATGAGAGATAAGAGTTATAAGTATTATTTTGACTAGTGAGGCCCACGTGAGTGCAATTCATGCATGACATCATGTACATAGATGTTTTATACATTATAAGGAAGACTTGTGATAAGTCTACCTTGTTTTATCATTATGAAATTTTGACATGGATTTATTTTGGGTATGAACTACCCTAATGTTTGTTTCATGGTTATATGTTGTCATGGATGATTTAATTAATGAGTAGATGCCCAAGTATGTTATTGAGGTTCAGTGGTATTAATGGCATGCCATAGAGTCTAGCAGCTGCATATTAGGTACACTAGAGTGTCTAGAGAAGGCACATAGTGCAGGCGTCAAAGTGTCTAGTGAAGACACGATACAAAACGCTACGATGTACAAGGTGGGTAAGACTCGACCTTAGCACTACGGTGCATTATTAGGTGAGCAATGCTCGACCTTAGCACTTTTGTGCAATATTTGAATCTTATACCGGGTTCCTCATTGATTGAGAATTGTAGGCAATAGTTGTTGATAAAAACAATTTTATTTATATTATGTTGTTTTGATTTTTGGCATTTGAAAATGATATTAAATTTCATGCATGATTATGTTGCAATGTTTATTGTTTTTAATTACCTCGCTAAGTATATACTTAGCGTGTGATGATTTTCACACGTAAATAAAAAACCAAGAGTAGAGTAAAGAGTACAAAGCTCTTCAAGCATCAAGGAATATACTACAATATCAGTAAGACATCCT